CCCCCCCCCCTTAATAATGAAAAAAAAAAATGTCCTTTTGGCTGTGGATTAAGAGTTTAAATGTTCTTAAGGTAGAACCATAATTGAAGTGAGAAACACAGCTTGGAACTCCAATACCTGATGAGAAATTCACAGATCGGTATTCCATTTTGTAAATTTAAAAACCTGCTGCCATAAGTGTCTTAATGAATGAGTAGCTAGAAGAAAATATCTATGATCATAACCCTCCTAGGAATTTCTGTTGCACTAAAAATGCCTACATTAAAATGGCAGTAACAAGTGCAGTATTTTTATGACTGCAGGTACTGGATGATAGGAGTTTTGTTATTAATGAGTGTGCATTACATGAAAAGCTGCTACAGAGGTGTAGTATCTGGTGGGTCTTCCTTCTTATGCAGGAATGTATATGTAACATGAATTATGTATATGTTTCTGGCCATTGGTAAGTTGTATTAATGCTGTAGCCTCTTACAGATCACATATGATGACATAAAGAAAACGTATGGCGGAGGACCAATGAGAAGTTACTATTCTGGTGCTTACAGTTCCAGTACAAATGCTTACATGTTAATGTATCGTCAGATTGATAAGCAAAGAAACTGTGAAGCTATGACAGTGGATGAATTTCCTGCACATATCAAGGTTGGTATTATTACTCTGTCTGCATGAAATATGTGAAATAAGCAGAATCTATATACAGTATATAATAAGAAGTGCTGTATGACTGTGTTGTGTATTTTGTGTTGTTACAGTGGTAGTTTCCAGGTCATTTCACATGTGGCAGCTTTTTGTTCAAAACTGTGCCAGCTGAAGGATGTTGTAATTTTATTTACTGTTCTAATGGAGAAATGAGTGAGAAAGAGTTATAAAAAGGAAAGGAAGGGACAGTGTGAAGGATGACAATATAAAAACAATGACTTAACAGGCTTTTCTGCAAATTGTAAATTAATATTTAAATCTTTGTTCCTTTTCGATTGGTATCGGTGCTAAATGTAGGTGCTGTATAATTTCTGAAAAGTGTTGAAGTTTTGTTATAAATGCAACCTAATGGTCTTCCCAGTATCAAACCATGGACAGAACTGGAACTTTGTGATTGTGAATTTGCTCTATGAAATTATCTCTTTATTACAATGGATCCCTACAATTTGGACATGGAGTTTGGTGTGTTCAGAACTCATACTGAACTGTGTCTAAAAATATCTGCAGTGGTACATCATCAGATACTGACATAGACTGTTACAACATCATGTTGATTCTGGGAAAATATCAGAAATCCATATAGATCATGAAACACGTCTGCGTATGTCACATAACATGGACAGGGAAAGGTTGTTTTCTAAACTTCATAGAACTTTACATGTGAATAAGATGCTTATATTATAATCAGTCACATTATTGAAAAACTCAGTATTTGTTACTGCATTGACTATGTGATCAAATTGGGTACTTTCAGGATTTGCTGCAGAAAATGCAGAAACGAGAAGAAAGTGATCGCATCCTGCGAGAGAAAGAAATGGATATGTGTAAAATCAAGCTGTATGCACACTACCCAACCAAGCGCCAAATGGTAGAGGCAAAACTGTACTGCGCCAGTGATGTCACCCTACAGGAGGCTACTGGAATGGCACATAGGGTACCACTTTCATACCTGTTTATTTTCTCACATGAGTATTAGTAGTGGGTCTGGGATGAGGTCCCCTCAGCCTGATGAGGATAATTCAGAAGCTACTTGAATGGAAATGTAGTGACTCTGGTCTACAAAACCAAGATTAATAGCCATGGGAATTAGTTGCGTTGACAACACGACACCCTCTATCTGCAGAAGTTGGCACTAACTTCGCCGACAAGCAGTGGTCACTCAGTCGGTATAGTTCGCTAGCAGACTAAAAGCAACAGAGTTTAGTTTTAGTAATAGTATTAGTATACGGGCAAAGTTATGGTGTTTAAGAAATTTGTATAGTCCAAATCTGTGAAGAGTGCACTTGGTGTAATTGTAATAATTGTAATTTATTTCGAGTTCAGAAGATCCAACAAAACCGGTTACAAACCATAGGATATAGAACATGTTAAAATACAGTGGTGTGGTCAGTTTAACCTTAAGCCTGAATTGAATGGCATTACATGACTGTTAAGTTGGCAGACTTTTTAGACCTTTCATTTCTCTACTTAATGAATGTTGGGAAAAAGCTTATATTTTAATAAGTATTTAATCTAGAGGTATGGGCTAAAAATCTTGTCACATAGCATAAATTACTCAGGCTATATGTGAAAATTATAATATCCCCTTGCAGTGTATGTATATTGAAATAAGCGCTCAGGTCAGAATGTAGTACAATTTTCTGTCATTTTGATCAGTCTGAGGAATCTGCGGCATAGGTGGGAGTGACATCAGTGGGCACAAGTGACCTGATTAATATTTATGAAAAATGGGATTGGCTTATATTTTACTTATTGTTTAAGAATGCTGGCAGTGGGGAGATATGTTCAGGAGTAGTTCTGTAGACATATATATATATATGTGTGTGTGTGTGGGTTACTTCAAAAGTCATGGCAACTAATTTTTGGGGGGGCAAACATGTTACAGTCCCCACCAATGGTATCTCCACCTTATCGTGGTGGTGGGGTTTGAGAGCTCCTGAGACCCTGAGAGCTATGCCGGCGGTAGCGTAGCTACTGGTAGAGCCACCCATGCCGGACAGGTCAAGGGGTACGAGCCAGACAGAGAGGGATACCCTGGTCCTCCAGGTTGGGGGTTGGGCGTGAGGCCAACAACCTCACTCTGTAAAAAAAACTAAATTGTTCAGAAATCCGGAGAAAGAGTAGCCGGACAGATCTATTCAAGACGACCTGGAAAATGTCTAAAGGATCTTGGAATGTATTATCTCTTTACAGAGCCGGAGCACTAAAAATGCTACTTGAACAACTAGATAGCTATAAACTAGGTATCACTGCTGTACAAGAACTGAGGTGGTTGGGTAAAGGAGTAGTGGAAAAGAGGGATCATGTTGTATACCATAGTTGACAGAAGAAGAGTCATGTGTTTGGAACAGGTTTTATTGTTAATAAAATAAGGAAGCATCTTATTTTAAACTTCCGGGCAAAAACTCACAGAAAATATAGGCTACAAATTAAGGGAAAGTTTTTTAACTATAGCCTTATTTGTGCACATGCCCCTACTGAAGATACAAGTGATGAGGAGAAAGACTCCTTTTATGATGAATTGGATGAAATATATGGCGAATGTCCAAAAAGGAATTGTAAAATAATCATAGGGGACATGAATGCTAAAGTGGGGAGTGAGGATGTATATAGATCGGTTATTGGAAAACATAGCCTACATACGAGGGGCATTCAAGTTCTAAGGTCTCCAGTTTTTTTCTCTCAGGACTGGGAGCAGATAGACACATGCAGTTTAGTTTAATATACGTGTGCACTCTTTGTGAATGCGCGACAGAGATGACAGCACTGTACGGCACACAGAACTAGTGGCAGCCGCGAGCGTGAGGAGTGTTTTTGATACTTAAAATGGCGATGTTTTCATTACAAGAACAGCGAGTAATCATTCGTTTTCTCCACTTGTGTGGTGCGACACCCATTGAAATTCATCGCCAGTTGAGTGAGACATGTGGTGATGGTGTCATGAATGTGAAAAATGTGCGTTTGTGGGCGCGACAGTTCAAAGAAGGCCGAACGTCGTGTGACAATGAACCAAAACAATCTCGGCCGCGCACCAGCCGGTCTGACAACATGGTCGAGCGAGTTGAGAAAGTTGTTTTGGAGGATAGCCAATTGAGTGTGGAAAACATCGCCTCCAGAGTTGGCATTTCCGTGGGATCTGTGCACACAATCCTGCATGAAGACCTGCAAATGCGGAAGGTGTCTTCCAGGTGGGTGTCACGAATGCTGGCGGACGACCACAAGGCTGCGCGCATAGCAGTTTGCCAGGTGATGTTGACATGTGATGAAGGCATGAATGGGACTTTCTTTTCATCAATTGTGGCAATGGATGAGACATGGATGCCGTTTTTCAATCCTGAAACGAAGCGCCAGTCAGCTCAATGGAAGTGCACAGACTCACCGCCACCAAACAAGTTCAGATAAGCGCCAGTGCTGGAAAAATGGTGGTGGCCATGTTTTGGGAGAACGATGGCGTAATCCTTACTCATTGCGTTCCAAAGGGCACTACGGTGACAGGTGCATCCTACCAAGATGTTTTGAAGAACAAGCTCCATCCAGCACTGCGAGAAAAATGGCCGGAAAAGGCTGCACGTGTGCTCTTTCACCAGGACAATGCACCAGCGCATCGGGCATACACGATGCAGCAGTTTCTTCGTGAAAACAACCTTGAAGTGGTTTCTCATGCTCCCTACTCACCTGACCTGGCTCCTAGCGATTTTTGGCTTTTCCCGACGATGAAAGACACTCTCCATGGTCGCACATTCACCAGTCGTGCCGCTATTGCATCAGCGATTTTCCAGTGGTCAAAACAGACTCCTACAGAAGCGTTCGCAGCGGCCATGGAATCATGGCGTCGACGTTGTGAAAAATGTGTACGGCTGCAGGGAGATTAGGTTGAAAAGTGACAGAAGTTTCAAATTTTTTGTATGATTATTGTGTGAAAAAAAATTCGGAGACCTTAGAACTTGAACACACAACATAACAAGTCAAACGATAGTGGGATGAGATTAATAAATTTTGCTTCCTAAAGAAACATGGTAATAGGTAGTACAATGTTTAATCACAAGGATATACATAAATGAACCTGGAAATCCCCTGATGGAAATGTGTTTAATCAAATTGATCACATCCTAACAGATGTAAGACATTGTTCAGATTTGATGGATGTCAGGTGCTACAGGGGGGCCAACATTGACTCTGAGCATTACTTAATAATATCACAGATTAGAAGTTGAATATATAATGCAAGGAAGATACATGGATCCCAGGCTAAGAAATTGAATTGTGGAAAATTGGTAGAACACGGAGTTGCAACCAGATATACTGGATTAATTAGTGAATGGCTGGCAGGTCTCTCTGATAGTGAGGATGTCAGTGAAGCCTGGAGGGACCTCAGAGATGTTATTATAAATACTGCTGTTGCAGTTTTAGGAAGAGTGGAAAGGATAAAGTATAAGAATTATTTTGATGGAGAATGTGAGCAAGTGACAAATAAAAAAAACAGGCATATAAGAGAATGCAACAAAGGAACCATACTCAAGGGGCTGTGGAAGAATACCATGAAGGGAGAAGAAAAGAAAAAAGATTGCATAAAAAGAAGAAAAGGGAATATGATAAACAAGAACTGATTGAACTGGAGCATTTAAGAAGTTCAAATGAAATTAGAGCGTTTTATCAAAAACTAAACGAGTCGAAAGGACTTTCAACCTAGAACAACCTTATGTAGAGATAAAGAAGGCATGATATTGAGTAGTGATGAAGCAATATTTTGAGGAATTATTAAATGATAACGCCTCTGAGCAAGTGGAAGGTATGGCCATAGACCTGAATCAAGGAATTTTTGAGGCTGAAGGGCCAGCACCAACCATAAAAGAAATAGAACAAGCTATCAAAAAATTGAAAAATAATAAAGCTCCAGGAATGGATCTCATTTCAGCAGAATTAGTGAAATTTGCAGGCCCAGAATATGCTAAGCACTTACATCAGCTAATAGTTAAGATATGGATAACTGAAATAATCCCATAGGAATGTAACCTAAGTATTGTATGCCCTATCCATAAGAAAGGTGATGTCATGGTGTGCTCTAACTATAGAGGAATTAGTCTGTTGTGCATAGCATATAAAATATTTTCCAACATTCTATTTAACAGACTTTCCCTTTGTGGAGGGCATAATTGGGGATTACCAATGTGGGTTTTGTCAAGGAAGTTCAACTAACAATCAGATTTTCACTATTTGCCAGGTCCTTGAAAAGTGTAATGAATTCCAAATTGAAACACATCATCTTTTCATTGACTTCTGATCAGCCTATGACTCCATAGATAGAGATAGTCTTTTTTCTGGCATTGGAAGAGATGCACGTTCCACGGAAGTTAATTGCCTTAGTCAGAGCCACTATGAGAAAGACCCAATGCCAAATTAAGATTCAGAATATGTTGTCCAGCCCTATAATAACTAGAAATGGAGTTCGATAAGGGGATCCCCTGGCCTGCCTTTTGTTCAGTATAGAATTAGAGAACGTAGTTAGAGATGCAGGCATCAACGCAAGGGGAATTATATCCTATAAATCAGTTCAAATTTTGGCATTTGCAGATGATATTGATATAATTGGTAGAACAAAAATCTATGAAGGAAGCTTTTATTAATTTGGAAAGAGCAACAAAAAAAGATGAATCTACAAATTAACCAAAATAAAACAAAGTACATTCCGGTGACCAAGAAAGACCGTGCTAATGGACCTGCATATATTGAAATTGGCTCATATAAATTTGAGGCTGTATGTAGTTTCACTTACCTTGCATCAGAAGTTAACTGTAAAAATGATATCAGTGATGAAATAAAAAAGCGTGTACTTGCGGCAAATAAATGTCTCCATGGCCTTAGGAAACACCTGAAATCCCAACTGATATGCAGGAAAACCAAAACTATGATGTATGGCAATGAGGAAGACGGCGAATACCATCAGCTTCACCATCTCCAAATCTTGTCATCTCACACTGAACTGCATTGGAAATGTCCTCTCATGTACGAAAGCGTTTCCCTCGCAATGGTTGTTTCAATTTGGATATTAAATCACAGTCACATGGCGAAAGGTCGGGTGAACATGGAGGATGGTGTAGTACTTCCCATCCCCAATGTCGTAAACGGTTCTTGACACTGTTTGCTGTGTGGGCAGTTGCATTGTCGTGAAGAGCGATGGCAATGTTAAGCAGTTCAGGACGTTTATTCCTAATTGCATGACGTAAGTTATTCTGCAGAAAGGACTTGTAATACGCTGCATTGACAGTTTGACCATGTGGGAAAAAATGACACAGAATAACTCCCTGGACATCGTATGCTAAAATGACCATTAACTTAACAGGGGATGGGTTTCAACGAAACTTGTGCTTTCACAGCGACTGAATGTTGCCACTCAACGGACTGCCGTTTAAGCTCAGGTTCATACGCCCTAGCCCATATTTCATCGATGGAAATTATCCAGTTCAAGAAATTGTCTCCTTCAATTTCATATTGTTCCAGGTTCACAGGACTTTCTTCATAATCTGTCTACTTTTGAACCTTGTTTAATTCATGTGGCACCCACTTCTCTACAGTCTTGCGCATTTGTAGGTCTTTTCGTAAAATTTGATGCACAGTTGCCTGGTCAATCCCTGTATGTCTCTCTAACTCCTTCAGAGACCAGTGCCTATCTTCCTCCATGCACTTGGCGATCACGGCACAAGGAAATCGGTACGAACAGGCACCGGGTGTCCACTTAATTGCAAGTCGGCACTTGCTTCTCTTCCACCCTGGAATGGTTCTATCCACCTTGCAACAGTTCTGTATGGTAGAGCACAATCACCCAGAGCTTCCACAAGTTCTGAGTGACATTAAGTCACATTTCTGCTGTGAAGCACTGCTATTTTCACGTAACAACGCTGTTCCAGCCGGCTAATGTTCATTCTCGACGAAGGTTATGATCACACTGACTTAACGCTGGACTCGCTTCATTGTCCTTGGACTTCCGCATCATCTAGCGGCATCATTAGAAATCAGACGTTGCTGTCTCTCAGCGGCAAATTTGGAATTCCGGTCGGAGCTTTCAAAATTTCGAAAAAATTATGTTGCCATGACTTTTGAAGTAACCCACATATATATGGGAGGTGCTCAGTTGAAATCTTAGTTGGGCTTCCAGCTAATATGACTGAGGTTTCTTGTGGTTTTCACCAGTCCCTGCAAGCAAATTCCCAGACAGTTCTACCATAGGCCACTACTACTCCTTCCAAAATCCAGTTCATGATTTATCCTACCATTAGAGCCTGTTTAATCTGAATACTCACAGTGTCATAAAGCAGACCACAGAAAAAGTACTTAGAATATCTTGTTAGTGAGAGTATAATGTTATATTTTCTATTTACAGTGCCTCCGTTTGGAAGGAGTAGTTCCTTTAGAACGATGCCGACTAGTGAATTATGATAGACTGCAGGACACCATTGAATGCAGTTTTGAGGGCCGTGAGAATGATCCAATAAGTGAAATTCTCAGTAGTCTTCGCGGATACGACTTGCTATTAGAAATTCGTAGAGAGGATGCTGAATTTGAGGTTTACCAGCCTGGGGGTAAGTTCAAGAATTAGGCAGGGAATATGTTTGATTTCTGAAGTTAACTGTTATCTCTGTCAGTGCTGTAGTAAGTTATATTTATTCTGTATTTCTTAAATAATTGCAAAAGTTTAAAACCTTATCTAAACAAAAGTTTTACTACACCTTGTTGAAAACATGGACTAGCATTATCAGAAGGATTAATTGCAGCAGCAGGTCCCATCTTCTCAGCCCTGTCATAACTATAAATTGACTGAATGGTTCAATGGTAATTTCTCCATACAAACTACAAACAGTTCTTTGGTCTTCCTTTATGTCTTTTTCCAGTTATAGAATTACCTGTTAAAGATCATTTGTCATATTACTGTGTTGGAGCATGGTGCAGGTTACAGTGATCCCCCCCCTTCCCTAATAATAATACCACTAGCACAGATTTAAAATATGGCCACCAGCCTTGCAGAAGTGTTAGATTTAAGATTCCCTATTCCCAGATGATAAGAGTTAGGTGCCGACAATGGATACATATTTGAATAATCTCATAAGGAGAACCACAGAGAGAGATGATTTTCGTGGTACATAGTGTTTCTTCAAGTAAAATATCTTTCGGTTTATTTAGGTAGTATATGTTAAATATTTAGGAAACACATACCTGTCTGCAGGGAAGAAAGTTTTGACTCCTGGCAAATACAGTAGATTTTTGAGAAGCTGGTGGACATTCAGCTGAGTAAGAAATCTCTTTGTCTTTTATGGTTCTCAAAGGTTAACCCTTTCGCGCGGTGATTTAAATTCCGCGGCCGCCTCTCCTGCGGTAATATATTCAGCCGGCCATTTAAATTTTGCTCGAAAATGATTTATTCATCATTGTTCTTAAATTCTATGAGATAGGAACATGAAACTTTCACTAAAATGATCTAAAAAGGTGGTTTTATAACCTTACCTTATAATATGAGCAGCCGGTATCTCGGCAATGGAAGCAGTTTGTTTAGAATTTGAGCAGTGAATGGTACGCCTTGAAGCATGAAACTTTCACTAAAATGATCTTAAAAGATGGTTTTA